CATGGCCCTGAGCAATCTGCTGCAGTTGGCCTCGCTCTGAGCAGGGGCTGGACCAAATGGACTCCTGAGGCCCCTTCCAGCCTACATGACTCTATTCGTGCCTTGCCACCAAGCCATCTAATCTATCTATGAAGGTGTTCATGTTAACCATGATTTGGCTCTGTGTTTTTCAGTTGTTGTATTAGGAGTCAATAAGTTTGTATAAAACTTATTAAAACTTATTTATAAAAATAACATGTTCATATAAACTAGATGCAATGAAAATCAGTCCATGAAAACAATCAGAATTCCCTTGCTTTAGCAGACTCTGCAGGAGAGCAATACTGTGATTTGTACTGCCTGAACAGAGTATAATACTCTGCAGCACTCAATAACGTTGCTTAAACCCTGGGAGCAAAGACAGCTCTTTAAAAGAAATCAGGGTGAGGTACTACCCTTAAAAAGATTTATATTTGCAAGAAGGAAAAAGCATGCCTTCAGAGACCCAAGGGTGTTGACAGCTTACGAGGATTTCCCATTTATTAAAAGGAATGAGCAAAGAGGTGAAACTGATACATTCCAGGACTTAATTCTCCAGTAGAGCAGGAGTCCTTTTTTCTCGTCTGGTAGTAAGAAGGAGATGTATACATAGTAATCAAACCTGCTGTCCTCAGACTGTACAGCATGGTGGCCCCATAGGTACTCCAGAACATGAAACTGAATTCCTGGTTTTGCTGCAGAATTTTCCTGCCATCTTGAACACGTCACATTCACAAAGAGCTTAGGCACTAGGATGGCAGTTAAAGCTCATGTCAACGTGTTAGGCTTCTGCATTTTCCCTGAGGGAGGTCTCTGAGATACTCAGTGTTCTTGTTCAGCGCTGCCACCACACAGGCAGGGCTGAGCAGCTTAGGACCTGGGAAATCAGACTCCACAAAATACAAAATCCAAATCCCTTTACTCAAGTCTCATTTCAGCCCAGTCTGTTATATATGTTCAGAACACGCAACAGTGGTACGACACGCAGGAGCCTAATGAAGCTTTGACTCTCCTCCATGTTGGACTACTGAGAGTCCCATGGGTTTGACTGGCTTTGGGCATGGGCAGTATTAGCACATGTCTGCCCAAAACACACCCTGTAGACAAACTGATAGCAGCTCAGAATAAAATGTCTACCTATCCTTCATGGACCTAATCCACTCTCTGTTCCCCAGTCCTCCATCTGCAAAATGGGGAATGCAGTACATCCCTATTTCACTTGGATATATAGACAAGAACAGCAAAGGAGCACAGAGGTTCTCAAGGAAAACAGGCTGCCATTTATCAACTTATATTTAACAGAATGAATAATATTGTAAAGCCAACCCCTTTGGCTTAAACAGATCAAAATCATACTCTATGTGAAACATTCCTGTTCTTACTTTTTTGTTGAAATTTCATATTTGGAAAAGCTTTATCTCTATCAGTTCTACATACTTTTCTTGATAGTGGTCCTTACCCCATGCTAGTGACTTTTTGTAATGCTTTATTAACTTCTAAAAAAAAAAAGAATCACCAGATGGACTTATAACAATGATTCATATTATTGTTATTGCTCATTATTATCATTTGTCATATGAGACAATGCCTGGCTGTGCAGTTTTCCTCCTTAAAAAGAGAAATCTGGCTCAGCTCTGAAGGTTCCAAATTGTGTTTATTATACTAGCTGAAACATGTTTATTACACTGTCATGTTTTTATATCCCTCCTGCTACCTTGTGAAAAGCATACTTTAGCTCTGACCAAACTGTGAAAATTCTGTGAGGTTTTGCTCTCTGTGATCAAACCATTGATCCACTGAGTTCAAAAACCTTGCGTGATGGTAGCCTGTATCTAACCGAGCAGATTGTCCTTTACCTCTCAGTACCATACCTAATTTTGAGAGGCACTCCATAGGGAGGATTCCTTCTTCAGTCCTAATCCTAGTTCACCAGATTTCCTGAATTTTAAGCTCTATTCTTTCCTCAAATGTGCGATAGGAACAGTTATGTTCTGCCTGTCTGCATGATTATTAGTATAACAGTATTTGATCAAGAGGAGAATGCGAAAGACATACATAATACCTGAAAATAACAATAATAAAGAAGAACTAATGGCAATCCTATTCTCATACTGCAGCTGCAATGAATTTATGGAAAACCTTGGCTCAGAGGCTTTCCAAGCACTTAACTGAGTCTTTTGGACTTCTGAGCCAGATTGAATCCACAACTTTTGATAGCAAGAATTCTGCCAAGTGACTGTCTGAACACAAATAACGATCAAAGAAAGTCATGTTATGGAAACCCATTTACAAGTGATATTTCTTAATTGTGCACCTTATATGAAAGGCTAACAAATGCAAAACTCTGTCTTTCAGACCTGGGGTCTGGAAATGTGAATTTTCCCTCCTGAATTCTATCACTTGGTCTAAAGAATTACATTACCTTCCCTAAAAATCTTGCTTCATGAGGGTTGTCTAAGCTTTGGTAACCAGTGGGATGTTGCTAGAAACACACTAGAGGTTCACTGTGGCATAAAACCCTCCCAAGTGGTTTGCCTGGCTTTGCAGTGATGTAAATATTTATTGACACGGTCACAGACTGAGCAAGATTACACAGACGTGGTCAGCACACTGTAGTCGCAGTTCATATAGGGTTACAATATCATATAAAGCGCTCTCCCTCCACTTTTGAATTTAAGTGGTATTGCATCAGAACTGGTGCCAACGAGCAGGATTCCTCAATCACTCAAAACGCTATTGGGAAAGGAGGGGAACCAGTGACCGATGTGTCTGGTTTCCTGCTTCTTGCTACACAGATGCAGGCTAAGTTTGAACCACAGAGGAGCGATTCTAACACTATAGTCCCACAACTAGCTTAAGTCAACATAAGCAAATGCTGATGCTAAAAGAGGCAGTGCCAGCTTCCCACTGACCCAATCACTGTTTTCACTCTCCTTGCTTCTCCGGTAACTGCAAATAGTCATACATACATATGTGAGGGGGAAAAAAGGCTAGTTTTAACCTAGAGGATTGCCCTGATCCCACTCACTGTGCGGCTGCATGAACATCTGGCAGAAGGGAGAGAGACACGTGGAAGCAGCAATAAGTGGGCACAGGTGAGGACCAGAAGGTAAGCCAGGGTTGCTTATTCCAGTTTAAACTGATTGGGGAGCTGTAGAGGAGCTTACAGAGCTTGTAGAAAGTTCCCTCAGGGCTAGAGAACAGTGGAGGATGGGATGTGTGAAAGTGGGAAGTTGACTTCCCTGGTCCATTACACCTGGATTAGGCAGATAAGATGCAGCCAATTTTTCCGATACAGAGAAAATGCCGCCAGAAATGTTTAACCTAGTCTAAACATAGCTAAAGTACCCTTCACTTGCAAAGTGCTTCACTTTATCCTTGATGGCATCTAAAATCAAGTACTGATAATTTCAAATGAAACGTAACCTAGTGAAGTCGCTCTTTTAAATCAAAATTGTTATTTTTTTCAAAGGAAAATCACTTGCCTCATAAAAAGCTTTTATGTTTCAGAATATTATATTGAGAATAATGTTTCTTAATAATGAATCTTATAACAGCATTACTTAAAACAATTAAATCAATTAGTTCAATAAAATTCTTCAGCTGAACTGCAATATTTTGGCACTGTGACTGATTGAGTTTACTGCCTTTCCAATTAATGAAAGATTGGTTCCTTTAGCAATTACACTCTGATTAGTCCACAGCAAGAACATTTTCCATTACTCATCCCCTATTGCTATCAAAGGACCTTTATTGCTGGCTTTTCATTTTCTCTTTAATCCTAAATTAACAGAGTTTATCCCAATCCTTGCTCACTAGAACTCTTGAGAAAAAATTGATTTAGAATTTTATCAGTGCTAAAACTTTGTGGGCACAGATAAATCTGCTCTGTACCAAGTAGGAACATTATTACCCATTAAGGGATTATCCCATTTTAAAATGGTAATTTTGACTGTTCACAAACAAATGTGAAGAAGCAGGATAAAGAAGTGATTGTTTATCATGAAGCATTACAAAATAGCCCAAAGAATCTTTTCATAGACCAAGTAATCAAGCTTCTGTCAAGGTGAGATAATTGTCAATCAAGCTCTCAGTTCAAACACAGCTGCTGAAAATCAGAGACAGATGAAGCCAGGCACTTCACTGCAGTTTGAGCACCTAACTTAAAAGCAGGGTATAGAGTCTTGGCAGTAGTTGAGAACCTGTTATAACTCCATACTGTTGTAAAAACAGTCAGAAAGGAAATCCAGATTGGAATGTTTTGTCTTTCTGAAGCTGAAAGCAAATGTATTTACCATGCCAGTTAAAATGGCTCTTAGTGAGAAAATCTGGTTAGTATATTAGTAGTTTTTTGTCAATATTTAAAAAGAAAAACCGTTCCTTGACTTGTAGTAGGCAGTTAGTATTTCTTTTTATTCAGTGCTATTAGTAAAAGCTTTCTCCTGGCTCAGCAGGCTGAATGAACATGCTAGAGAAGACTGCAAGTGCACTGCAATGATCAGTCACCAATCCTGCAAAGACATATGCTTCTTTACTTCACTCTTCCCTATTAAATGTAACAAAAAATTAGATGTATGAGTACTGCTAGATCAGAATCATATTTACATTTGCTTCTGTACCATTGGTTTACATGCCTCTTTTTGCATAATATGTAAAAATGTATTCATCGTGTTATAAGTTTTGTCACTTGTTCCTTCTGACTCTATTTAATAAAGTACAATATGAATTAAAATCTGGATATCAACTGTTCTCACAGGAAACAAACTTTTTATTTTTTTGCACTGCACACTGTACACTGCTATTATTTATATACTATTGTGTAATTTTGCACAAATATTGATTAGTAATTTCGTAAATCTGAAAAGCACAATTCCTGGGTTATGACCATGACCCTAAAAAAATCCAGAAAAAACAACCTCATTACGAGACATACCTTGCAATAGATGTTTGTTTAACTGGAAATCCACAAGAGCAGCTGCCCAGTGCAATGGTACATATTTGCTTCTGAATCCTTTCTCAAAGGCACTATTTAAACATGTTGATGAACTGAACTGCATTTCTCCCCACCTCCATTTGAGCAAAACAAGGAGACTCAGAAGATAAAATATGCTTTGTTTTTGCAAGTAGCATAATGTGGTAAGTGAGAAATTTGCTTTCTATAGCGCTATTTAAATAGGAATGTGGGAAACATCCCTATTCCTATGCAGATGCAGTATCTGCGTGTACTGCTCAGTCATATTTCTATTCGAAAGTGAATATACTTCTGTTTCTAGAGGTGTTTGTATATAGGGCTCCTACTTGTCCATATTTGGCTTGATATTAAATATCTAGCTACTTCGGTTTCACCAGTTTGGCAAGAGGGAATCAAGAGCTGCTGTATAGAGAACATCCGTCCAATCCAAGATGCGGGATTTGTTTCAGATCTAATTCTGATTTACCTTGAACTGCAAAACAGTGACAATGATAACAAGGGTTTTTATGATGTGGGCAGCTGGACTAGCTATTCACTAATTTCACAGAACATCTTCAACAGCAGCCAGTGACAGCACTGATTTTTCAGTCGCCTCTGTCCTGGGCGAGGTTCAATGCTATGACCTAAAGGTGAAAGTGTGTGTCTTCTGAGCCAGTCACACTTTACACTTCCTTTCTGGGCTCTCTTCTAGCTTTTCTTCTGCCTATGTCAGGATGGGAATCCTTTTAGGCTGCCAACACCAAACTTTAATTTGCTCGGGAAATTTCTCCAAGTGCTCCTTCTCTCTTGCAGTTGGTTTGCCACTTTCTGCAGCAATTCAAGCTCTAAAAAAAAGGAGTCCGAAGTGACAAAAGGCAGGATATTAATGGAACGTGGTTGAGATGGTGTCGCTCCTGTTCTCCTCCTTTGTTAGCCAAGGATGTAAGTTGTAAGAAAGGACTTGGTCCAACGTCCCTTCTACTCATGTGGGTACCACTTATGCATCTGAGCAACTCACTTTTGTATGTTGGAAGACCTGAGCTAATTTAACAGTATGCTAAGTGCCGCAAAAACAAGTTTTCTTAGATCAGGAACAATGTTTTCCATAGCAAAAAACCCATAAAACATAGCAGAAAACATAGAAACAATAGAACACATGTTTTCCATAGCAGAAAACACAGAAAAAGTGCAAGATGAAATGCTTTTAAGAGGAGAGGGAGTTCTGTGACACCTATTGTAAACAAAACTAAAAGTTACTGTGAGCCACTTGCTATCTGCTTTGTTCTGTTTCTTCACCTGCATTGCTGTCTGTAGGCAATAAACCATAAAGTAGAAACGTGGACTGAATCCTGAGATATTCATTCAGGCTAAACTCTTATAGCTGGCAAAGGAAATTCTGTCCAAGTAACTTTATTGTACTCTAATGTTTACACTGTAAAAGGGAGAAAGACTAAAAAAATTGTTTTCCTGTAGCAACTAGCAATTTTGCTCCTCTTAGTTTAATCAGAACTTTACCCACCAATCTATTTTAAAAGCAGAAGGGTGAAGTCATGCCTCCTAACAGGACTTGTGGTGATCTTGAGAAGCAAAGGTTTGTTCCCTGACTTTCAATCTTTGATTTCACGATTCAAGGGGAATTTTCTGATTCTGGTTAATTTTTCATTGATTTTCTTCTCCTTTGCAATTTATTTTACTGGATAATGTAAAGGAGTAAAGGATAGTGCTGGATAATGTAAAGGAGTAAAGCAGAATACATGAGGAATAGAGATAGCAGCAATTGAAAGTGTCCCGTAAATTACAGTACTGACTTGATTGATAGAAACATTGGAAGATGTTACAGTTTTTGATGCAATGTTATGAAATTTTCTTTCTTTGTCAATACTTTGAAGCAAAATAGGCTAGCTCTATAGTTTTTTAATAGAGTTAGCAGTATATGGAGATATCATCCAAGGTAGTTATGAAATCTGTATCATCGACCGAATCATCAAGACTAGGTGGTAATCTTTACCACCTGCCTGCAAAATGGTTTGCATCAGTGCAAACCAGTTCTATAATAATTTTAAAGTCCTAATATTCAGCTCTAATGATCAGAAAAGTGTAATAATAATTTCCTTCCTATTTTCAAATGATTTTGTGACAGTTTGTGATCAGTTTGTGCTTGCAGAGCACTTTGACAGGTTAAATGTTGTATGAGTGCTCATCTTTTAGTTGAACATCTGACTTTAATATAGCATTTCTTAACATTCTTAAGTATTTCTTAACAGCAGAATTCTTATTTTTTTATTGTTTCCATCAAACTCTGAACTCTTTAGCTATGATGCGGCCTAGCATCTGATACCTCAGATAAGCCTTTCCATGATTTGAAAGTGAAATTAAAAATATTAATGGCACAATGATGAATCTTCCCCTTCTTTGAACTTTATGCACTCAGATGATAGCCTTGATTTTTAGTGTGATTAACCCTAACACATTGTGGTTCTGATTTTTTTTGCTTTCTGGTCCTAAGAGTTTCCAGCAACAAACCAAAATCTTGTCCAATCACGTACCAAAGTTAACTGTCACCTGACTTTCAAGATCTACCATCTGTGTCTCTAAAGATGCAATACAGGGGGTAGTATTTCCAGCACTTCATAAATTTTCTTTCATAAGGGTAAAGAGGGTGGTGACAACAAAGGAATGCTGGATTTATCAGGAAACAAAAGCAATGGGAATGTCTAGTTAAGTTTAAAACAACCTATTGTGCCACAGAAAAGTGGTACATACAATAAGCAATATCAAACAGGATTTAAAGTATGTTGGACTTAGATTTTTTCCACCTTTTGTAGCTCTTTGATATTATGATCCGTGCCTTTGTCATCTCAAGGTTATGCTTTGAATGCACTCTGGTTGGGACTGTCCTTGAGGAAACCAGGAAAGTATCACCTATTTCAGCTTTTCCTGAAGGATGGTGGAGGTTGCTCTGAGTGCATTGCCCTAATACATCACACTGCTTTCTGCTGATTTTATCAGAATAGTTGAAAGGCTTTTACTTTCTGGGATCCGTTTATTTGAAAATTCATTTGTGTCTTATCGTAAACGAGACTAACAGAGCTGCTCTGCATTACCCTGCTGATATTAGACGGTGCTTCACTCTTGGGGTCTAAAAACTATGCTTTCTTGATGAAGATCCTTAAATGTAGAACTCAGTCCTCTCCTTCCAGTCCTCCTTGCTCCAGTTTTACACACACAAATAAAAGAGAGAGTCAAATATGCTGACCTGCTATCTTAGGAGGATTTCTTTGCACATCAATGAATATGCCTAGAAATAACTGCTGTGGAAAATGTGGGTATGGAGACTTAATGGAAAAAACAATTAATTGCTAGTGCTTTATGGTGATGACTCTTTTGAAAAGTGAATGGTCTGGTATTTCAGTCATATTTTGTTCGTGGCTGGTTACCATAAAACATGTAGAGTTCATTATATTCTATTATTCCTTTATTTGTATTTTTAGATAGTGTTGTCTAAATCTGCTAGTGTTGTAGCTCTTGACCTGAACATTGCAATGGTAGATAATGGATTGTATTTGGAAAGAAGGCCTCAAAACAAAAGGTTGCAAGTGCACAGTCTATTTCTGATCTTCTTCTAGTGCAGTGATATTTGATTTTGTGGAGATGTCTATCCTATTATGTGGTGCTGCAGAAACTGAACAACTAGTTGGGCAGTAACATCCAAATACCATAGCACTATCAAAATTATTTCAAGGATCTCTGTGACCCCATTTACACAAAAGGCCTTGATTTATCTTGTGTAAAAACTTAGCTTCTACAGGATATGTCAAGGCAACATCAGAAACATCTCTCTCTCTTTTTGACTATGGGAGTAAAATCTCAAAAAATATCTTTCCCTTCTCATTACCAGCTAAAGAGGTACCTTTATGATCTGTTTGAGTTTCTCCATCCAACCGTGTTCTTCCTGACTTACGGGAAAGATGTGTTTGTTCAGTCTCATTGTTCAGCCAATTCAGTAATGAGTATGCGCTGTTACTGGCTGTCATGAAGCACAGAAGAAACAGTTCCAGTTAAACCTGCAGTCTTCATAAGGTCAACATACAAGCTCACATGCAAGACCTCGCATAACAGTCAGATCTTACAGGAAGGAAGGTTGGACAAGGATGTTTGTTTGTTTGCTTTTTTGGTAAATTTTGATTTTTACACCCCTAACCTTAAACCCCACAATTTTTAGAAAAAATAGATGCATTTAAAAATTTGGTTGTAGAAGTTTTGTTTGAAAAATATTACTGTTTGGTATAAAGGATTTTGAGGAGTATAGACATTTCCTACAAAAGTTGCTATAGTTAAAAAGAAACTCATGGAAGGAAAACATTTAATCAGACTAACCTACAAATTTATACAAATGAATAATGCAAGAGTTATCCTGACATACACAGGGGATCTCATAAAGAAAAACCTTCTCAGAAAGTTATTTACTCTTTTTCAAAGTTAATGATTAGAAAAATAAATAAGTGCCAAAAAGATAAATGTATTTGATTACTTCTAGCAATGCACTGCTTTCTTATATGTTATCCTGGTGAACACTCAAGTAATCGCTCAAAAAGAATGCGCCGGAGTCTGCAAGTTAAATTTTTGATGCCATTTAGTTAAATTGAGTAATTAAATACAAGAGCTAGGGGCCTGATTCTCCTTTATACAAAAGTCTCTTTGTGCCACTCTGGCAGTACAGAAGGGCTGTAAAACAAGTAATGCAATTAATGCTTGACTGAATGCCCACTGGCACAGACTGGAACAGTGAAAATAAAATTAGCCTCCCAAATTTTTCAGAAGATATTTCTAAATGAAAAGCGCTGTAACTGACATCAAAATCGCTGGCTTATAAAGCATAGAAACAAACCCACTGATTTTTTTATTTAACTTCTAAGACAGTTTTTCAGAGAGTGATTGAAGCGATGAAAGACAAGCACTGTAGAAGTGCAAAATCTTGTCTGGATTTGCTTTAGAGACAGAATTTTTTTTTGGTAATTTGGCCAATTTGCAACACAAAACCAAGTATTTATGGTAGAAATGCTGACATAAATTTACTAATAGCACTTCTAACAGGTTGTTACAATGTCTGTTTGCTCAGGTACAGCATTAAATACGAGATGTGAACTCACCATGGCAACCCCTGCATCACATTGCAGATATGCTGCTTCTAAGCTACGGCAGATGTTTCTGAAGAAATACACATGAATATTAGGTAAACATCTATCAATTTCAAATTGTGATTCAAAAGTACTTTGCCAAACAGTATAATAAAAAGGAGAATAGTTTTATGCTATTTAAATTACTACGTTATTACTGGACTTTACCTTTCATTGTCTCATGTTTATTGCTGCAAAATGTAAGTTTAGCTGGCTCCCCAAAGCTCTGTGACAAACATTTTGGCAAACACATTATCAGTTTCTCCAAAATGTCTATATGAATCCTTGCATGCCCTGCTAATCCAGAAGACCTACTTGGCCTTTTCACTCCTCCTGCTGATGTCCTGAGACCTTGCAAAAAATACTACTGTTCACTATAAGGTATTCAATAGAATTACGTGAGTATAGCTAGGGCTGCAGGTAGATTTTCTCCTGAACTCTATCACAACCCTCTTTTAAGGGTATGACTGTTTTGTTTCCATTATCCTTCTGCTTTTACTTTTTACCTTGAATTTTACACAATTAAGTATATATTTCTTTAATTTGTCTTTCTTCAGGGTGGCTTCCTGCCTTTGCATAAATAAAAAATCGTTGTGTTGTCAAAGTCACTATTTCTTTTTTCCTTAGGTGTTTTCATCCTTTCTGTTAGTTTCCTATGATAGATATAAGCATTCTCTGTGTAGAATTTAATTTTAGCACTTTTCCTTTTGAGGCCTGATCCTTAATGTATCCAGTATTATTTTGTATCTTAAAAAGAGGAAGGTTTTGGGTTGCCACTGAGGTATCATTGACTTTAGCTTCACCAAAACCCTTGGCAGATTGCCTGCCCATAGAGATCAATGTTCACTTACGTTATGCCTAAAGCAAGTTTCTGATGATGTCCAGTGCGTAGCTATTCCTCCTGCACTTGGACTTTTGCTGCCAAACCTTCCTTACACTTTATAACAGTTTATGGCAGAATTTTCTCCTAAAAGGAGTAATTTATCTCACCTGCTCTGATCTTTTCTTGATATTAAGGAACCGTATTCTTTCTTTCCCGAACTCACCTGCATAGGGGGAAAACACCCATTTTCTCAATTACCTGGTAAGATTGATAAGGAATGTACCAGTACTCTGTTTTGCCACTTTAAATTGTCTCCTTAGGTTCTTTCATCACTGCTGTCCAACTCTCCTGATCCTGGGAGACACTTACCAAAATCTTTATGCAGTTGGTTATGTGCCATAGCTTAGGTGCAAGAGCACCACGTGAGCTCAACAACTGCACGCAGCTCAGGGGCTACAAGCTCCCCTACTCTCCACATACAGTTCATGGAGGAGGAGGAGATGGAGAGAAGGCTGCTGGGTCTAGTATTACTAAATTACTGCTATTACAAAGTTACACAGTATAATTACCTTTTCCTGTTTCTTCTCCCAAGTCTGCTTTAGCCTATTTGCACTGAGCAATTATTCAATTTGTCAGTGAACCGGGTATTTTAGGATCTCCTCTATAGTCTGAAGAAAGGAAGAGATTATGCTGGCTGTTTTTCAAAATAGTTGTTCACCTGGCTGCAAACTGTGCAATAGGCATTGCACTTGTGATTGGCTAGAGCCAGTATACCAAGACAAACTGCACTACACCTGGATGTTCAATTTCTATATGAACAATGGGGGTTTTAAACCTACAGTTTTCTTCTACAGAATAGCACAGAACTTGACATCATCGTTATGTGACTACCACGCAATCAGCTGCCTGATAAAATGCTGAAGTATTATTCGGTGTAATCATCAATAGCAATTGCTTCCTACACTTCACAGCAGAAAGTTCAACACTTCACAGAGAACCAGCAACACTTAGTAATTCTCTTTAACTTCAGCAGTGCCTTCTCCCTCACCTTCAGTATCAACAACAGGCCAACAGAGATGCTTCCCCGTGAGAAGACTTTGCATTCCTCTAACACCCATCTGAAATGTATACAGATACACAGAATACACATTGAATCCTGAGCCAACCCAAAAGACCTCTGCCTACAGCAATGTTAAACTATGACATAGTATTGCTATTTTTCTAAAATAACAAGTATGGCCAACCCTATTTCTAATCTTAGGTGTAACTGCAAGGGTTCATCTGTCACTGTTTCCATTTTAATCATATTTCAAGACTTCCAAATCACAGAAGAAAAAGTCACATGAAGAACAGAGTCACTTGAACAAAATAATAAATGAATAAAATCCATGTTCTTGGGACTAACAAGTAGAGAAAAGAATATATTACTCCAAAATGTTCATGTATCTTAAATACATAAAATTTCTCTTAAATGCCTAAGTCTGGCAAAAAAGGAGAATTAATAGATCCAACAGCTATGGCTCATATATATCCTAGATTGATCTTCTTCTACTTGACAATCTGAATTATGTATTAGAAATATTTTACATCAGGTATGAATAGTGAAAAATCCTGAGCTATATCAGAACAAATTAATCTTCTATATGTCAACTGAAAATTATGAAAATGCCCGTGTTTTTGCTAGAAAAAGAATGTGAAAATCTAGCTACTATTGTATATTAGCTAAAAAACAACCTGGATATAGCATAGATGTAAATAAAGAAATCTCAAAAGCATTAATACAGCTTTTAAAATACAGAAGTTCTATGTCCTATAATAATTAATAAAATGAATCCTATTAAGCAGCTATAACCTATTATTTGTTATCTCCTCAAAACATGTGGATGTGCTTTACGCAAAAAAGGATCTTTCTAATTAGAGAAGATAGGAAAAGACTTGTCTGGAACAGACTCAGACAAATTATTCCTTAGGGCTTCTGCTTTGTCAGAGGTAAGGTGCAGTGAATCAGCAGGAGTAAAACTAACAGTATTTCCTTGGTTACATCGTCCTCACTGTTACTGAGAAATAAGTGCCGATAGATACAGATTAGGCTTTACGTGATGCTGTCATCAAATTACTGAAATTTTAGTCTTTAAACATACCTTTTCCTTCATGTTCCGATAATGTAATTTCTCCTTTGATACACAAAAAAGTGAGGTTCTCAAACTCACAAGCTTCTGTGAGAATTTGCAAACCTACATTGCTGGATTTGTGGAACAAAAAAACATAATGTCAAGGAATATAGCTTTGATGACTTACGCACAGCTAAACTTATTTTCGCTTTGTTGACACTGGATGCCAACTTACCAAAGCCCTGGGTGGCTTCTAACAACTGTTTTCCCCTTTTGCTCTCTCCCCATACTTGCACTACCTCATTTTGTGGGAGCAATGCCATTCACCCTGTGGCTTCAACAGGCCCCAAAATGTCAGTTATCTTTTGATAAATACTTGTTATGTATTCTGCAGTTAATACCAAAAGACAGAGAGAAATATGCCAAGGAATAGATACAGTTTTATGAAAGCTATTTTTTTTTAAAATGCACAAAGTCCCCTATAATAGCAAGTTTGTTCTCCACTGTTTCGGACCTGCAAAGAGTGAAGCCCACCCTATCTCACCGCTTGAGTCCACTGATGAATTCTCTGCTGCTTTTCTTGGCTTTAGATATCAGAGCAGTCCCATAAGCCAACAGGATTTGGGCATAATCTTTGGAGGGGTATTGCTAAACTACAAACACAATATACCTTCCCAAACATATGATCACATAAATACACTCTGTGTTATTCAGTACATTGATTCACTAAAGATCTAATCTTGACTGCTTTATGATAAACCTTACAGGTCTTCTTTAACCTTAAGCTAGTCGGTCTGGGGTGTATCATGCCGTAACCGGTTTTCATAGCAATTTCGTTGAACCAGCTGGTTTAAAAATGTGTATATAGACCCTAAAGACCTCTCAAAATACAGAAAAATATATTTAAAATAACCGTGAAAACTTAAATTGACAGGATACTGAGTACTAATGATCAATTAGCACAGATGAGAGCAATACCATGTTCAATATCATGTATCATTTTTGCATTCAATATTCAGGACAAGTGAGTTTTTGTAGACAGTTGTAGGTGAAATAATAAGCAACTTTTAGAATGAAAATAAACACGTATGTTCACTATCCCTATCACTACCATAACCTTTAGGATATGCTTTGATTTTACTTGTTCGGAACAGTACCGTTTCTTCTGGAAGTTGCATTAATGCGGGTTATTTCTTCTGCTTTACCTGATTACAGTCACATTTATCACTGGATTATTATAGCAATAGCTTTTAACTATTTATAGACCCGTAATGAATTTCTAGCGAGTAAGGATTCTCTGAAGTGAATTTGATCCTACTGACAGAAGCTTTGCACTTCCTAGCTACCTGTCATGGGCCCTCAGAAGCCACCAGCCTCAGTCGAGTTAAAAGGTTAAAACTACTGCTATAGTCTATGAGGTCTCTGCTGCCATGCTGGAATTCCCAAATTCTTTCTCTCTGCTAAGCAGTGAACTATTTGTTACCTTGGCATGAACCTTTCATTTGTCCTGAGAATTCATGCTGTTCCTAAATTAGATGGTTCAGAAAGGTCTTCTCTCTGTGGTATAGAAATGCAAAAGCCTCAGATAAATTGTGAATATTTTTGAAAGCAGAGGCAGACATTCAGTTAAAGACTCTAAGAATTTTAATAAACCAAATGACTTAATCATCAATCAGCATGTCTGCATATCATCAGAATGAAGTGATTTTCCTTTTATGAACTTGCATCTTTCTGTGCCAAAGGTGTTTACAAGCACCTGATGCGGTGGATTCACCTTTAATGCAATTTCAGGGGCAGGAGGCGGGAGGTCGTCAGGGCAGGTGGCTCCCCCCAGACCCACGGCGCTGGGCTCCCCTCCTCCTAGAAGGGCTACACTAAAAGCTGTATTTCATGTCTCTTTTTAACACCCTTGCCATAACTGTGTGTCCATAAAAAATCAGCCACTGTCAGGCTCCAGTGAGGACACACGGTCCTGCTGGCACTAGGGAAACACTGCTGGACAGTGCCTGTCTCATTAACAGTTACAGATAATTATGATTTCTAGCTATGTTATAATTTGAAAGTTTCTTTAAGCTACTCATTGTGCACAGTTTTGACTGCTCCTTTGGTCACCATAAAGATAGCTGTAATCCTGTCCCTGTTTCACAGTGACCAGGGGCAGCACAATTTGTCGTAGACCCTATGAGCTGCGGGAGATGTTCCCTTTAACGTATCACCGCAACTTCCTGACCTGTCTAATCTTCTGTCCTCAAGCAATAATACCTCCATGTTTCTGCATTTTGTGGACTAGCTGCCTTTTGTTTCCTTGTTAACCTTCGATACCAGCTGGACTTGGTTTTAAGCTGACTGGTTGATGCAGTGTACATTCCCCATGGGTTTGCTAGCTCCTGAAAAGTAGAAATTGCTGGTTGGGGTCCTCAGGTGACTGAAACAATAATGGGTCGCTTTTCTAAACCTAGGTTTATATATTTACTTCAATTTAAGCCACGGAAGTAGTCTAGCCACTTTTGCTTTGATTTTCCTGCTCTAGCCTGAGGCCTTTGTGATTAACTATCACAGCAGCTATATCCATGCCATCGCTTGTATCTTTTTATGTAAATTCATGTAAGTAAACCCTTTACAGTTTGTATCCAAGGGAGTCAAAGGTCTGCCTATGTGGCTCTTAAAATGAACAGGACTCAAGCATACCATTTTCTGTGATTAGTGACACCCAGGGGTGTGATGTGGCCATCAGCATATTCAGTTGCCTTTGAATTTCTAACTTTTTCTATTTATAGCTGTTTTTATTGAAAATGGCCTTTGGCATGTGTACATAGCAGAGTCTGAATTTTGGTCTTTGAGTCCCAGGTGAAGTGCCCTGTCACTCTCGTGCCCCCTGGCCTCTTCTCCTGCACAGAAAGGAGACACAATAAAAAGCCATGAAATACAGCATGACATCCTAGTATAAGTATTGTAGATATTCATTGAATGGATCCATTCATTAAAAATCAAGTCACATCCATCTGCTTCAGTATCCTCGCCTCACAACAAAGTATTTCCTCTTTTCTTTTCCTCCACCTGTATTCCTCCTGACGGAAATGATCTGTTCTATATATCATGACCTGACATTATAAATTATTGTTTTATAGTGTTTTATGTTTTGTTTTCCTTAAAAACTCATTTCTTTCTTTCTTTCTTTCCGAAAAAAATTCACATCAACTTTGTGAAAATTAAATGTCAGCATTTATGTGGCTCAGAGAAGCACCACAAATCTTCCACTGTTGCCATCTTAGATTTCTGGACATCACGATATATTTTTCTTTATATTTGTGTTTTTGCATGGTGTTTTGATTTACAGTATTTGAAAGAGAGTGGTTCATTCTCTTTTGGAGTAAATATTTCTGTTTGACATCACACAGTAGTTACTCATCAGTGATGTTTAAAATAAGTGAGTCTAAGAGACTGATACTGTATTGTAATAACTTAATACTGAGTATGCACTACATACTAGCCGAGGGAAAGGGACACCCCGAGTGTTGAACGGATTTAGAAAATGACTAAGTTGCTCCCATGCAGTTATTGATATAAATGGTCAGTTTCTAACATTGCACTCCAAAGTCAAATCTATCAATTCACATTTATTTCCTTATTTCTTTTTCTTTAAAATTTGTTTTTCAGCTATTTGATTTAAGGGAACAAAGAGACCCAACAATCTTCAGTTACCTTTCTTACTGGAAATATTTTGAACAACTTCTTTGTATTATCATTTTCTCTGCCACTGCAGTAAATTTTCCATAGATTATCATTACAGGCATATTTTTCAATAAAGTAATGAGTAACATAACGCAAATACATCCATTCTCCTTAATTAAATGAGCAACAGATTTTTGGCTGAAACAAAAAATAATATTATTCATAACTCAAATTACATTACATAAAGTGTGCTCTCATCTGTGAAGAGACTATAAATGGCATGGTAGGGTTCCATATTTGCTTTTTTCCCCCCCCTTTTTTCCATTGACTTTCCTGTTGACCTCTCTTTTAATTTACAAATAAAACCATGTCTTTCTTAACTGCCAGCCCTGAAAACTCACCCTGGGATCCGAGATCAAGCTGTGTTTTTTCTGGTTTATGCCAAAATAGACTCTGGTTCACCTCCCCAAAGCTGAGGTGGCTCTGCAGGGCTAGCAGGAATTTTATGATAAGTAATAACAATATCTTTGCCAGTAAAAAGACGAAGTGAACAAATTCTCTCATAAGTAGGAAGATACCAATTTTCAAGTTAGTTTTATAGAAAACAGCTGCTGTTGAAAACAAATGCTTGCAGCAGAGCTGGAATGGCACATCTCATTACTAGATCCACCCTCTGCAACCTTCCTTCATATCTTCTCCCCTTCAGGCTTTCCAGCTCAACTCGTAGTACACAGCAATTCCTCATCTGAGGTGCTCGTGGTTACACAGCCTTTTCTCTGGTGGCAGTGCTGGACTGAGGTGTTTCCTCCTCTCTTTTATTTTGTTTGCATCCTTTCACTTGTGTAGGGACAACTGTGTATGGGGCTGCTTCGTGAATTAGAGTAAGCTGATTTTTCAGGAAGTCTGCAGGTTTGTTTCATTGCAGCCAGGGCACAACACAGTGCTGCAAACCGTTGCATGGTCATGGCTATGCACTCGCTATCCCGCTTCAGTATTTGTGGGGCATCAGATGAAATATAGGGAAGGCAATCTTCTATTTTTATTTCCAAATTCTGGTCAAAGATAAGCATTTAGCCAGCTCTTTTCTTAAACTTTCCAAAATCTATATTTTAGAAAATCTCTCTTCCATATCATAAATGGCAAATTTCGTCTTTACAGGGAGACACTGATGGAAATACAACGCTTTGGAGTTAAGCACGAAGACGCAACTCCACAGTGCTACCTAACGCCCCTGAAGGATGCCTAACGTCCTTCAGGAATGAGACATCGTGGTGGGATTCGGGTGCTTGGGCACGCTTGGAGACACGGGCCTGCAGCTCCCCTTCGAAGACTTGCAGATAGCCCCACCTCTACTTTTGGGGAGCTGCTGATTTGTAGCAATATCAGCTGCCTAATCCTGATGCCTGGCAAGGTGGGTCTGCACCTACTGCTTGTGTGCATGCTGCAGGGTGCTCTGATAGGGCTGTGCCTGGTCTTCTCTGTCATAAAACTCCCAGAGAGCGTAACTGAGATCTGGAAGCAAAGCTCAATAATTATTTACTTTAGCTAACAGGATAGATTTAACAGAAGAGAAACTGAGCCACGAGTGATGTGTGCTGGCATTTACAATTCCTTTGCCTGACAAATCTACTTTGAAATCTGATGCTTTGTGAAAGTCGGTGCAATTTGTGAAAACTGTCCATTTTTGCTAAGGTCTAAGAGTTTGAGAGAAATGAGAAAGCAGGCAGGTCTGTGTGGCCAGAGTAATCCCTGTGGGATACTGGTATGTGCTTTGGTGGCCAGTGGAAATTTGTGAACTGCACTGCGAGACATTGCACTGTATATCTTGTGCTGTTGAACACTTGAACAGGACAGAGCTCATGCAGCAGTGTTTGATATATAGCAGAATTAGATGTAGTTTTGGTTTCCTCACCAGATTCCCATAAGCTCTGTTTCGTTAGGTTTAAAGAAGTCAAAATATAATGGAACATAATTTTTGATCTTATATGTCATTTGACCCACTGGATACGTATTGATGTACACTAAGAGAAAAGGAAGACAATTACAAAGCCAGAAAATTAATACATCCCCTAAACAAAGCTGAGATTTATGCAGATTTTTTTTAAAAGGAAAAGTAATGCTTGTGATTGCTTTGGATGGTATGATGCACCTTTTCTTAACGTATTTTCATAGACTGCTTCTTCAAAACTGTGGTTGAGACTTCATTTTAATAATCAGAGCAATCTGAATGTGTACTTGTTTCTGCCCGAGGCATAAAAGTTTGCATTTTGATAACATTTGCACATTATAGAAAACGCACCTGTGACAATGAACTCCGCTAAAGCCCTGCCTTCACACCCCAAAAGAAAAATAACCGAACAGGTAATTTATTATTAAAAGTCGAACCTAACACACAGAAGTATAGATGTTCAGAGTTAATACAGCTTTTTTTCCTCGCTTACCTCATCATGGTTGTTTATGGATTACAGCATCTGCTGTAGATTATGTAAGATCTGTTGCAAAAGCTTGCTGCATCTGATGAATAAGGGCAAAGTCTGAGTTTAATTTTGAATTTTCAGAGTTTAGTGAATTCTGCTGTAACCTCCTCCATCATCTTATTGCTTCAGCAGGTACAATTGCAAATGGTGTCTTTCTATGATTAATGGCAAAACTACTGCCTCTTAGTGCCTTGAGGTTGTAACCCTATGTGTTAGGAGCTGTGCAAATGTAATCAAAGGACGTTCCTTATGCCAGAGTCCTAAAATGAAAATACTAGTTCAAAGAAAATTATCCTTTTGAAGGGATGAATTGCTACGCTACATCATTAGAAATGACATTGGCTTTTTATGAGATGTTAAAGTCATTTAAATTAGAAGAATGGTCTTCAGAATCCAAATTCTATCCTTAGCTCAATTTTTAATATTCAAACTACACCCATATCCATTTTGAAATCACACAAACCAGTCAGCAATCAGAAAGCTTAATCCCGTTCAATTTATCCAGATGAGTGGTCTCACTGGGGTTAGCTGAACCG